AGACCAAGGAGACCTGAAACGCGACTGACCGATAAGCGTCCACACTCCAGACCTGAAACGCCCCGAAAAACTGGCGTAAGAAGAAAACCGCTCCTACGACGGCCTCTCACTTCCTTAGCGATGCGTAATGATGGTTCTTATACTCGCGAAAATGAGTCTACTTATGATCCAACCTCGCTTTACTGGAGCGCATAGTTGAATTGAACGTTCCTTGAATAATCTATTGATCGGCTGTAACAATTGTCGTTAATGGTGACTTTTATGAACGTTTTCCAAGTTGCATAGCTACGTAGCAGCCAGAATTTAGCTAAAACAGGAAATAATCTTAATGTAATCACTAATTAGTCTTCAATGTTAATAAACATTCATTTTTTTCCGACTAATTTTGAATCAAATAGTTTTTTTCAATAGCTTCTTTGACGTTTTAGTTTTTAAATATGATGAAATAATTAGCGTAAGTTTTGATGACCGTCCTAACTTGAATACGTTACGAACGTACGACTCATTCACGCTTAATAATGGTCACCAAAAGTTTACACTCTGCTATTTGTGATCTATTTAGATTATAAACGAGCTAGTATTCGATTAATATTGATAGAAGCACATCTTCCTAATGGATTAACTGCAACCCTATAGCTCCTCTATAGCTCGATCAATAAAATAAATTATTTGTTACATTCGTGCGCATTTACGGAACTATTTGTGTGCTTTCCGATCATATCCAAATTATTTCTGAAAATAAAAATTTTAAATTCTATGATTGCACATTCGTGGATTTATCAAAAATCCGTCATTTAGCTTTGGTCTAAACCGTTGAGATTCACATTATATAAAATAACTATAAATATATTAATATAATTTATAACTATATAATACATAATATAAAATATGCAAAGTACAGATGATTCGCAATAGGAGCGTAAGTTTGCATAAATAAATAAAGTGAACAAATGAGACTGCGCTTTCAACAATACAACATCACATATCTTAATTTTATTACAGTGCCAAACACAAGAAACCAATTTGCCTCTCCTTGTTTGGGACTCCGTTTTGGTTGCGTTTTCATTTCTAGCCTGCAAAAAAAATTAAAATAAAATTGCCGTATCTAGGAAACCTCAATGATAAAAAGGAACCAAGTTTAAATTTTCAGAACAACAAGTAATCTTAAATTCGAGTTCCCTTCAAAAGGAGGTTACAGATTTACATGACATACCAAATTGCTGCGGTAGCTTGAATACGATCGAACTTAGCTCATCTGGCGTCGTGACGGTTAAAAGAGAAAATTTGCAGTTCTTGCGTTTGAAAATTATTTCTGTGAAAGAAGGCCGAAGGTGGAATATAGTTCCAAAAGTGCTTTAGTTTTTGAAAACTTGAACTCGGTCAACGCTTTCGTCACTTCAATCATCCCAAAACCAAGCCCCCGATAGAAGAACCGAAATTTCATCCAGCAAGAGTTCGACTGAATGCCGCCTCAATGGCAGTGACAAAAGAAGAGAAAGTATGCTTCTTGATTATCCTCATCTTAATACTACTGAATTTGTTGCAGTTATCGTTGTCCTGGACCAATTTGCTGCAGTCGTACCAGCAGCAATCTAAAGCTAATGGCGATATGAAAGAAGTTTGTTCATTGTAGGGAGTGTGGCACACTCCACTTAGCCGTCTAAATCATTCGTTTCCAGCTGGTCCAACTCAACGAACCTAAATTTCGGTTGCCAGTGTGCGAGGAAACACCTCGACATCAAATGAAGTTGTGGAAAATAATTTGATGCTCCAGAAATCCGGGTAACGAGATCAGGCTGCCAGCGTCCAAAATTTGGAACTTCAGCTGAAAGATGAAGAATTGAAGAAACGAGTAACTTTAGTCGTCACTAGGAACTACGACAGATTCACGAACGTTTACGATTATGAAGTAGCATTATTCATCTTTGAAACTTCACTTCGGGGCATCTACCGTACTAAATAGAGTTTTGTATCAACCGTCGCCTTGAACTTACAGAATGAAGAAAATTAGCTCACACTATCAACATTAGTATTCATGAAGTGTGTGCAAAAAGAATAAAAGGGTATAGTTTACCTTTTGTTTCCGTCAATACCATCGGCAAATAGTGAAGGCTTCTACCTTGAGCTCATACCCGTGCCCGAAACTCCGCCTGCTACAGCGAAGAACTCTTTCATGAAGGTGAAGCCCTAAACACAAGGCGCCATGACTCACGAAACCATGAGTATTTTGGCTGAGAAGAACACGACGCTTAATGCCACCGATCAATAGGTTAGTTAAAATGCTAATTTGACCTAAAAGCCAGCCTCATAATTCTGGCTTGATTCTTTGGACGAGTGGTAAGAGGATCCCGAAATTTCCACCCACGTATCGAAGAGTGATCCCAAAACTATCGTGACAAATATAAATAATTAAGTCACCGTCGACGGGGCGCTCAAGAACAAGACAATTCGAGAGACACCACTGAAACATGGAGGCGAGAAAATTTAAGCCAAAACATTGACGATACTAAAAGACGGCGGAGAAAAATTTAAAAAGCAAACCTTGATTGCAAGTCCCAATAAGAATCTCACTCGAATCAAAGAAATTAAGAGCATCAATGGAGTGACGACTCAGAAGGAAAATAAAACCGAAGCGAAAATAACTCCAATCGGGAATGTCACTAAGTAAGTTCAATCCAAAATAAAAGAATCGCCAGGCCTGAAAAAATTCGCTCTCAACAAAACGGCAACAATAATTGGAGAAAACAGTAAAAAACTAAAGGAAGAGAGTATAAAAGAAGAACATAAAAGCAAGAAAACTGAAAATGAATCTAAAACGTCGTCAACATTCGTAAAAGAAACTTCTTCTGAAAGCGAGTCGACTGGTGAAAAAATTAAGGCTTCGTCTGACGATCGACATTCCAGAAAACGAAAACATAGAAAACGCCGTTCGAGAATGAAAAATCCCTTCAATGGATAAGAAGGAAGGATGCCCAATATAAATCCGATTGTTTAACGTGGAACCGAGGCCTTGGATGAGAATACTGAAATGAATCCTTCAGGATAAAAGTCGACTAGCAAAGTCTTTGCAAAGTCCTTACCTCCAACAAATCACCGTCCTGAAAATCCCCCTGGTACTTCAAACTTCACGACCAAATTTACGTAACCTGTACACAATTTTTTCAGCAGACTGCGAAACGCAGCCCGTAGGCGATTTACATCAAACAATGAAACACAAGCTCGACGGAATACGATGAAGCGAAGCCTAAAATGGAACTGAAAATTTCCAGGAAATTGCTGTTGTCTCACTTGGATTGCTGAAGTGTGTAAATGATCAAATTCATGACTTTTAAAATTTTAATTTTTAAGTGCACATTTGAAAGCCATTCGAAGTTGAGGTACCTGATCGTTGACTGAAATTTTGTGAATAACTTATTTATGCAAGGATTTTCTTGAATTAATTATTTGGATGGCGAAAAACGGTTTCAAATTCCCCAGTATTATAGATTGGTTAGCGTGCGCTCGCACTCTCCACCCGCCATCACATTAATGCAGGCACACGTACGACTTCTCCTTTTCTGCTGACGCCGCGGAAATGTTCTTCCTTCAAACGGTCAACCTCTGACTTGCAAGTGTGATACGGCAAGAAATTTATTAAGGATGGTTAAAAGAATTAAGTAGCTATAGATGATTTTAGAATTTTATTTTTATGTACATGTATTATGTATTTTATGTTTTTTTAGAATTTTATGTATATAAATGAATAAATTAGTTCGTTAGTATACTTTCTGTGAAAATTGTGTTTTTTTTTTCTGCTGGACGCTATTTCAGTAGAGTGCGCACATTATTTGATTCGGAAATATAATCTTACTGTCAACTACGGCTTAATTACATCCTCGTGTTATTATAATAAATTATAATAATCTATCGTCAATTGTGTCGAAGATGTGATATTTCGTTCCTGTAATTCTTTGATATGCAGAAGTACTTCGGAGACTTCAATGTATGTTATTGAAGCTTTGAAACACGTACGTGAGTCCGTGACTTGCGAAAAATATCATGCAAAACGCCGACCATTGACTACAATGTGCGGTGCAACGCGAGCTATATGTTAATAATATATTAACTTTAAAGACTACTCATAAAAAATTAATTCAGAGAAAATTAAATATTTGTACTAGAATATTCGAGTGGAGAAAGTTGCTCTCATTTCATTGGTTAGACAGTGAAATTTTTTTATTAAATTGGTGATGCATACACAGTTCGCTATGAAGCAAGTAATATTCAAAATTGGAAATAAAAATATTAAAAAATTGTTCAGTTATCCTCACCGTTAAAAAAGTCTTGCTACACATAACATAATAAAATATCAATTTTTTAATTTCATTAACGAACTCTCAGAAGCAACATTAATTCGAATAGAAGCCAAGTTTTCGAAGAATTAGAAGTATAATTATGTATATTTCACCCGTTATTTAAATATTCAATATACGTATCATGAGAGTGAGCAAGATCGATGCCTTGGGTTCAGGTGCGTCGCAAAACGTTGTCAAAGAAACTTTATGTGCGAATTGAGAATCTCTGAGTAAACCCCGTAGGCTTGTAAAAGTTTCTTTTTTCCTAATGCGTGTTGAAATTTCGGCTACTTGTTCAGAGTTCCAAAAAACTGTTTAAATTATTCGCATTATCAATGGAATGCTGCTCACAAATGAATTGTTTCAACGATTATGAAAGATAGGTATATTTCATCTGATAACGAGCGCCAAATAGTTCATGCAAACGATTTTGGTTCCAGTGCGCCAAATCAACTCTACAGGGACACAAAACATAATTTGTTGTCAATCTCAAAGTTTGATTCAAAATCTAAAATTAATACACATATTTCCAAATAATTAAATATGATTAAATCATCACATCAATCCATTATAACCAGCACGTGACAAGACACAGTTATAACTTAAAATTCACCTTCTTTTCGAATTGAAACTATCATGGAATCGACGGTGTTCATTTCCACTCACCATGAACTGTGCTCTGTCGAGTGGAGTGCTGATACTGAGTGGGAATTATATCGTCCAATAAGAGTGGGGAGTGTTGATACTGAGTGGGATTTATAGCGTGCAATAAGACACCCTAAGCATGGCAGGTGCGAGACGAGCTAGCGACACAGCAGGGCACTTATCACCAGACTGCCATGAGCGAGACTGGCCGCGCGCGTGACATGAGACCGGAGTGATGTGGCGGTACCTTACAGTGTGGCATGACCGCGCTGTGTGGCGGTACCTTACAGTGTGGCATGACCGCGCTGTATGGTGGTACCTTACAGTGTAGCATGACCGCGCTGTGTGGCGGTACCTTACAGTGTGGCATGACCGCGCTGTATGGTGGTACCTTACAGTGTGTGGCGTACATTATTTGCGTACTTCACTGAGATGTGCCAGTATAGCTCATCTGTACCCAGTATGATGTCGGTTGCAGAAGTAGTTTGTATGGTAACCTGCCACTATGCGGTTATTCATAATGTGGCATTATAATGCCACATATAATAATGCCACATTATGCATAGTGGCATTAAACCTCGGTCCCAGTAAATGGTGTAGTGTAGTTGAACTAAACAATTCCACCTGCACGCTGACCAAAACTCCAATAATCAAGATTATCAAGCGGCGGTAAATGCCCAACGTGTTGTCAACATATGTGGAAATCTCACCTTCAATATTAAAATGGGATTATTTTACAACTGAATGAGGGCTTAAGCGGTCATTCCAACTGCTACTGCTGGTTTTGTCAATCATTCGACAATCAACATCCGCCCGTGTACAGTAGCCTCTAAAAATGTAATTCCCTGCGTGAAATAGGAAAAAAATAAAACTAATTTTCATCCACTCAAGCTTGATAACGATCATCTTCATCTCAATGAGATATTTAGATAGATAATTTCTGCTCAAAATAAATAACTAACATGTTTCATGTGATGCACCCTAAGCGAAAATAAAAGAATTTGTGTGAGTTTTCGCCATAACGATTGTTTATTTGTAATTTGTTAGCAGAAACAAGCTCTGAGATGGATGAACCTAAATGAAAAACAGTGCGCACGTCGGCACCCCAGGCATAGTGAAAATAGATCACTTGACTGGCAAAAAAATATTTCTGACCATGCATTTTTCCGTGAATTTTTAAACATGATATTATTTGCCACTTGAATATCTACTACCGTGCATACTCAAATGAGAAATATGAAATAATAATAATTAGGCCCACACTTTTTTGTGGACTAACATGATGCTTGCCACTTTTCCACTAGAAAAGCACTGCAGTGGCAATCTAAAAAGTGGAACTATTTGATGAGTAACGAAACCCACACACAAAATGAAAATTAAGAATTCTGATTTTTACATTATTATCTTTACTAATTACTGAATTTTAAAATACTAATCCGAGGGGAAAGTCCATCCCATATACACCACAGTTTGAAATAGCGGTGAAAAATCGGTCTGACCGGTATTCAAGTGGCCTACGGCCAAGTCAAACTAAATAAATGATTTCGCCATTTTTTTCAAATTTAGTACGGTTTTCCTTCGTTAAATGGTAAAAAAATATAACTCAGTACTCACTGCAGTGAGTGACAGAGAGCGCATTTTCTCATCGACGAAAACATAAAGTCACGGACGGACAGACAGACGGACAGACGGACGGACATGGCGAGCACAATAGTGCATTTTTTTTCATAAATGAGAAAATGCGCTAAAAACGGCTACACGGTGTTTCTTTTCACATCCGGCTGGCCAATAAAATGCCGGTCATCGTTTTACGGCAATTTTTCTAAAAAGATAGGTGAGTATGGCAAGATTTACGTACGGCATTGAGGTCTTCAATGAAACATTCCCAAAAATTTCCTTTTTTAAGCCCAAATAAAAGTAATTAATGACGTCAGATTTTTCATATATAAAAGTAGTTCACGTTACAACCCATGCATAAACTATAGTTATTTGATATATCCTTTGTACGAGAGTATTTGTAAGTGGAATATCTACAACTATTACAGACATCTACACATGCTCCGTTATGATCACTTTACAAAATTGCACAAAATAAAGTGAGAAATACATCAAATTATATTTAAAGACATTTTGAGAATCATCAAATTTTGTCTGAGCTGCTATTAAATTTAAAAATGCTATATGCACTGAAATAATTCATAAATCTCTTAGAAATTAATTGAGTCATGCGTTTAAGTTTTTTGTTGGGCCAAACAGGGTCGGGAAAATATACGCGAGGAGTATATTTACATCAGGGTGTTCAGTGACAGCATTTTGTTGGCCGGCGGGAATTAATGCTGTATAGGCAAAACAAAAAAATATAACTCAGTACTCACTGCAGTGAGTGACTGAGAGCGCATTTTCTCGTCGACCAAAACGTGAAGTCACGGACGGACAGACAGACGGACATGACGAGCACAATAGCGCATTTTTTCATAAATGAGAAAATGCGTTAATAAGAAGAATTCATTAACAGCGCTGACCTGGGGAATGCTCGATATAGAAGCCAGCTCTGCAGAGGTGCTAACGCTTGATGCCATGGACTCTTGTTAGATTAATTCCCTACCTGAACTGTGGGGCTGAAGTCAACAAACTGCATGCAAAAATTAAATTAAATAAATTAAAAGTACAAAATTCAACACAAACGTTACCGATGATAATAATGCCCTAATCTATCACAGCTTCTTGATCCAATTAACCAAATGGAGTTTAAAGATGGAAACATAAATCAGCGAGGTTAGAGGAAAAGATTAAATCAGAGTCCCGTCCATGAGCACCATAATTGTCAAACGTTTCCAAACTCATTCACTTCTAATTTAGATATTATCTGCATACTCTTTCCATGTCTGTTGACAATTTCACCTTGTCAATGTCTCATTAAGAGAGCTAATAAAAACGCGCAACTATTTCTTCTTTCTCTGCAACAGATTTAGTGCTCATTTAGTGCTGTATTTTCTGGCGCGCATCTCATTTGAGGTCGCGTAAGTCAGTAATTATTTACCATGGGTGTCGGAGATAAAGCTCTTGTCGCATACCAATCGCATGCTCATTTTTTCACGAGTCCATTACCGGTCGTTGCTCAGGAGGTCGTCAGGCAGCGCGCGGCAGACACCGACGGGATCCGACGCTTGGCGCGCTCATCGGTCCGCTCGTCTGTTACACCCGAGACGAATTTGTTTGCAATCTTCACGAAACGCCAGACAATTTTAACGGAGACATTGTTGCTTAGTTTTAGCGCATTTTCTCATTTATGGAAAAAATGCCTTATTGTGCTCGTCATGTCCGTCCGTCTGTCTGTCCGTACGTGACTTCACGTTTTCGTCGACGAGAAAATGCGCTCTCTGTCACTCACTGCAGTGAGTACTGAGTTATATTTTTTAACCTTACGAGGGTTTGAGACAAATTTATTCACCTGCAAATGATGTCCATTTTGCAGAAGTTAGTTCGCGATAATTAGATTAGATATGGCGTGTTTTGAGTCTATTTTCGACAATAATTGCCAATTGATTCGAGTTCTCTGAATTGTAACTCATCTCCAAGGAGCTTCGTGAATAATCCGACGATTTATAAATGCAAATAAACAAATATAATCAAAATGTATACATGGTTGTTTGAGCATAAATATCTCAATCGAACGCATTTCTATATAACTATGAATATGTCTGTAGATATGGCGCATTTTAAGTCTATTGGGCATACTTATACTTACTTACTTATACTTACTTATAAATGATTCCTGCTATATAGACTCAAGCTAGGAGTCTGAAGCAAACACGGCGAGAATCTAAACTTTCACACAAGCTCTGCAATGACCAACTTCCTCTTCAAACGAGAGAAATAAAATGATGCCTAGTAAAGACTTGATGCCTAGTAAAGACTTGGAAGATTGATAAAAGTTTGGGAATGCGACAGAAGTAGATTGAAATTTGACAACGTCATTTTTGACCTAAATTTGCATTTTATTTATTGATTTATGGCACTTAAACCCATCAGCAAAAAATTCACAGCAAAAACTATCAGTTTTTTAATTCCAAGGCAATAATCTGCTGAGAATTACTTTAGTCCAGTGGATTGAATATAATGTGGGAATATAATATTTCTCATATCATCTAAAATTGTTATGATTATTCAGGCAATTTCATTTCCACAGCTGCATACCGACGCTGTAATACAGCAATGCGCACGCTAATTTTGAGTTCCATTGATATGGTTTAAAAAATAGAACGAACAAAATACGAATAATACTATGACCATTATTAAAATATATGGAATACGGTAATGAAAGAAAATCGTAGTTTTAAAATAAACTCTATAATCGTAACAAAAATAATAGATTTTTTAAAACAAATACATTTGATGTTTGATGAACTGTTTCACATAAAAAATATAACTCAGTACTCACTGCAGTGAACGACAGAGAGAGCATTTCGCCGTCAACGAAAACGTGAAGTCACGGACGGACAGACGGATGGACAGACGGACGAACGGACAGACGGACATGGCGAGCACAATAGTGCATTTTTTCCATAAATGAGAAAATGCGCCAAAAATAATAATCTCTAAAATTATTCCAACGCAGGAGTCAGCTCTAAACTCAAATCAGGATGGAATTATTTCATTTGTAGTTCTTTATAGTTTTGTATATAACATGACCCACTTTTTTGCCTCAGAGATACATGTTACATTTCTCGACTCTGTGATGGTAACAGCTGAAATCAAGTGAGTAAAAAATGTCCCCAGCATTGATTAATTATGGTACAACCCTTTCAAACCTCTGACATTATATTGATAAATACTATTCACTCCGCAACAGAGTGCCAAGCGAAATAATGTGTACATTTTGAACACAAGTTAGATAATTTAGATAGAGTTTTGAATGAAATCAAAAGCATTCGTCCATTAGAACTGCTCTGGCTTCTTTCACTATCACGTTGAAGCAAAGATTGGCATAATCAGCTTCACATTTAATTAAGTTACAGTACCACGAGAGAAGTGAGCATAGTTTAAAAAATAGAGAGAACTAAAAAAATAGGTTCTATCAAAAACACTAGATTTAAACTCGTGTTCACAGTCCCACCAGAACTTTGACCAGATCTTAACCACCCAATAAATGCATTGAGTTTCTCATTGAATTGTTGGATATTATTGAA